ACTGATTGTTTTGAGTTCTTTATATATCCTTGATAATAGTCCTTTGTCTGAGGTACAGCTGGTAAAAATTTTTTCCCACATTGTAGATTGTCTCTTAGTTCTGCTAATGGTTTCTTTTGAAGTACAGAAGCTTTTTAGTAAGATGAGATCCCAGTTGTTGATTCTTTCTGCTAGTTCCCGTGCTACTGAGGATTTGTACTAGGTTTTTATTTCATTCCGTAGAAACCACAGCCAGTACCATGAGTCAAACATTTCCCTTGAGGTCTGCTGACCCAGAAGCTCCAAGCCCACCTGCTCCACTCCAGTGATTCCAAGGGTGTGCCAGGGAGGGTGTTACCCGGAGGTGGAAGGAAGAGGTTGAACTAGACCACCACTGTACACAAGAACTAGAATCAAGCCACAAAAGCAATGTTGCCTTTTCCAGCAGCCACACTAAAAGAAACAAGAACCAGCCAGGTGGGATGGCGCAGGCCTCTACCATCAGTACTCTGGGAGGCTGAGGCAAGAAGATAGAAAGTTGGAACCCAGCCTGGGAGATGTAGTGATTTCAAAAGCCCTGGGTTCAGTGGGCTGAGGGGCTGGAGGTATTTTTTGGCAGTACTGAGAATTAAACCAGGACATTTCCACTGAGCTATATCCCCAGCCCTTTATTTTATGTTATTTTTTTATTTTGAGACAGGGACTCATTAAGTCACTAAGTTACCCAGGCTGGGCTTGAATTTATGATCCTCCTGCCTCAGCTCCTCAGAGAGCTGGGATCACAGGCCTGTTACAATCCTGTATTTCATTTAACCCAATAGATCCCTGTGTTACTTTTCTCCTTGCTGGAACAAAATACCCAATACCCACAAGTTAAAATAGGAAAGGTTTATTAGCTCAACAGTTTGTAGAGGTTTCAGTTCATCATTGGCTAGCTCCAAGGCAGGGTGGCATTGCAGAGGAGAAACAGTCCATGGCAGGCAGAAGGCAGCAGAGCAAGCAAGGGAGGGCCGCAGCTCTTTCTATCCCTTATATCTTATCCAGGCTACTTAGGGTGGGTAGCAGTCACATCCTTAATCCTAGTGCCCTTGATCTTAGCACTGAACCATGAATTCCAGCATCACACACTTTAGATCCAGCCACTTCTGAAAAGCACCACCTATGACTTCACGAGGCTTTGGGGAGACATCTAGACACAAGCCATAACATGACCGTTTCAATATATGATCAGTGTTTTAAAATAGTATGGAACCATTTGCATCATTTTGTGAAACCATGCTCCCAACATCCCAGGGATTATTTTACACCTACTGCACAGGTCAGTTTGGGCCAGCTGCATGCCGAGTGCTCAGAAGCACTCTGTGACTAGCGCCTGCCACCCCAGACAGCACAGTGCTAGCTGTCCCTGAGGTCTCTTCCAGCCCTCTTTCAGGCTCTTTCAGGCTCTGAGTCACCACATATGGGGAGAGGTTCATGACATCACACAAAAGATGTCAAGTCTGAGAAGGAACCAAAAGTGGAGGAAACATGACTGGGGATTTCTTCAGCCGCATTCTTCCTCCTGAGGATAAGAAGCTCAGGGAAGCAAGTGTCTTATTTTCCCGTTGATCATTACTGCCTGGATAGTATCTGGCTGTCTGGATGCAGCGTGTGAGTGAGAGGGCTGGTGTGGCCTGCCTGACCACGCTCTGTGGAGTCGCTGAAAGGACACCTGCAGATGCTTCTGTAAGGTTCCTGGAGGGTTGTGACTCAACAGACTGCACTCGGGGACCGCTGTCCTTACTCCCACACAGAATCCTAATTCCTTTCTCACTGCCACCTCCCAGTACCACCACACTGCGGCCAACCTGACTCATTCACCAACAATACTCAGAACCCTGGGCTGCAGAACCTCAGGCCTGAGTCCTCCTTTCTCCCCCACCTCCACCCTTTCTTTCTTCCCATTCCTAGAGATTAAACCAGGGTCTTGCATATGCTAGGCAAGTTCTCTACCACTGAGCTACATCTCCAGCCCCTGTTATTCCATTCTGTTCTGTTCCATTCCATTCCAACCACTAAGCTGCCCAGGTTGGTTTTAAACTTGCAATCCTCCTGCCTCAGCCTCCTGAGTAGCTGGGATTACAGGCGTGAGCCACCACACCCAGCTTTTCTCTTTACTTCTTCCCTGGCAAGATGGAAGATGCCACCTGTCCTCCTCCCTGATCTCTATTAACTGTCATTTCAAAAGTTATTAAATTGGGTCAGGGATTTAGCTCAGTGGTTCTGCCACCTGCCTCGCAAGCACAAGGTCCCCAGTTTGATACCTGGTACGAAAAAAAGAGTTATTGAGTTGACATGAGAAAAGAACAGGAGAATTACATTTCTTCAGGTCCTTACTCTTTGGAAACTCCTGTTGTTGACTCCTTGCACTTTTCTGCCAGCAGGGACTCTTGCATTCAATCACTAAACAATGCAGGAAGCTTTTAAGAGCCAACTTCAAACCAGACATTGTAGGGAATATTGTAGAAGTGTGAGAAAGACCCCCATCTGCTCTCCATGTTCTGTGGGGAATTTTTCTGTTTGCTTGGTCACTCAGCAGCTCTAGATGATCCTCTAGAATTGTGCTGGGGAATCAAACAAAGTAGCCTTTAAGGAGCTCTAGAGGAGAGATGGGCGGCAGTGAAGCAAAAGTCAGTGCGTTGTATCAGATAAAACCCAACAGAGTGCACAAGGACCACAGCCAGGGGCAAAAGGCCACAGTCAAGACCTCCCGTGGTGCTCAGGTGAGAAGGGAGAGGCCCTCAGGATGAGGGAGAGGTTTCCAGATGGAGAAGGGAAACGTGGTAAGGACCAGGAAGGGCATCTCAGGCAGAGGGAGCAGCGTGCCAAGCCCCAGAGGTGGGGGACGGCTGTGATCACTGATGCCTCAAGGCTGTGAGCACCAAGCACAGCAATGGAAACGAAGGTCAGTGTGTGGGCTGCGGTCAACGTGAGACAGGGGCCCACGCTCACCCTAGGCCAGGGGACCCTCATGATGTGATGTGTGGGCTGGCAAGCCACTCTAAGGACCCCAAATCCAGCTGCTGGTTCTTGAGCAGGGTGATGTGTCCCACAGCCATAGTCCCAGGCCCTCAGGAGGCCAAGGAGATCACTCGGGCCACACAGTTTGAGGCCAGCCTGAATGACACAGTGATGCCTCATCTAAATCAACACATTCACAACCTAACTAATCCTGAGAAATAGCTGAGAAGTTTTTTCAAGAAGACAATACAGAACTAGGCACAGTGGCACAGACGTGTAACCCCAGCACTCCAGAGGCAGAGGCGGGAGGACAGCAGCTTGGAGGCCAGCAGCTTTGAGGCCAGCTTGAGCTGCTATGTGGTG